CATGGATAAAATGGAGAACAACATTTACATTTTGTTCCATATAATATACTGTACAGGTAAGGGTCCAATAGATGACCAAAACCAAGATGAGAAAAAAAAATGGAGTCCTTTAATCTTTTTTTAAGATGAACAAGTTTCTTTGTGGTTTTCCTATTAACATCATTTACATAAGAGACCTGCTAATATTTAAGGGGGAGATTTGTAGATGGTTTTGCATGTGGTTAGTATTTTGAATTGTGTTCGTTGGGCAAGTGGAAGCCAATGGAGAGTGTCAGAGAGGGACAGCAGACACTGAACGCTTGGTAAGGTGGATGAGTCTGGCAGCAGCAGTCATCATAGACTGTGTAGTGGTAGGCCAACAAGAAGGGAGTTACAGTAGTCGAGGCGAGAGATTACAAGGGAGTGAATTAGAAGCTTTGCGGTATCATTTGGTAAGAAGGGGCAGATTTTAGAAATGTTACAGAGGCTGAGTCGTTAAGATTTAGATAGTAATTGGATGTGGGGCTGAAAGGTGAGCTCAAAGTCCAAGAATACTCAGAGCAACCTGGCTTGAGGGGAGGGGTTCATCGTAGTGCTGTTGATCGTGTTGGAGAAGTTGGGGGAGGGAATCTTACTTAGTTTTGGACAGGATGAGTTTGAGGAAGTGGTGTGACATCCACGTTGATATGTCAGTGAGTAGATTAGCGATGAGTCACATGAGATGTGACACATAGGGGGATAGCAATCCTCTCTAGGGAGACATCAGGGGTCTATTAGACTACTAATGTCACGTAGGGACCCCAAGGAAGCTGACGAACCAGAGATAATGGTTCATCCGCTCCTTCTCTGGCCACAGCGAATGGAAAAACAGCCTGAAAGCAGAAGCCATGTAACACATATTGCTTCTGCTTCCAGTGATCAGAGGCGAGATCAGCAACTGGGAGTGTGCTGATCTCACTCTGATCAAGGTGCAGAGACTCGCTGTGCCAGTCCGAGGCCTGCATGGGGGACAGTAGAGGCCCGGATAGCCAGCAGTGGCTGGGGGATGGGCCCTCTGAACCCATGCGACAGCCATTGCGAGCTGCAGCAACCGTAATCTTGGTATAGCAACTTCAGGACAGCGCCGTTTATATACGCACAGCAGTCCTAAAGCTGTTTGTCACAGCTGTCCCACATAACCCCTTTTCTAGTTTTGGATAAACCCCATTTTGTAAAGTGGGCGCTGTCAAGCTGTTGGCGCTATATAAATAGTGTATAATAATAATAATAAAAATAATAATAAATGTATTTGTAAGGGTAGTCGTCGTGTTTCCAAACAGCTGACTCCAACTCTCAGCTCTGCTTCCCTGAACTTCCTGTCCAGTCCAGGATCACAAGGGAGAGCAGTCTCCAGCCACTGTCCCATCTACTAGCTTGAAGGAAGAAAAGAGGGGGGGGGGGGCTAGTGGATTGCCTTGCTGTTCTGGTGTGTAGGTGGTTACACATAGCTTACTAGGACACACAAGGGTGTCTCCCAAGGACCCTGCAAGGGAAAGGAGCCACCCTAAAACAGAATATCAGGGCCAGTGTTCAGGGGATCAGCTGATTCTGCAGGATGCTAAAATAAATCATTCTAAAATATTTCTATACCTGTACAGATAAATAGGACACACACAGACAGGAAGTGCAGGAATAAAACATCTGTATAACGAAGCGGTGTATTTAGACGTTTATTTACAATAAAATTGGTGCATTTGGGAATGTGTACAATAGTGTTTAGTTTACTCATGTTGAAGTTTTAGGCCTCTTGCACAAAAGCTGAATGGGAAAATATTAAATGAAAGCATTTGAAAAACAAATCTTATATACAATGCGCAGTCCTATTGTCCATCGAACGAGGAGGAAAGAGCAGAATGATGATCATTAGTGTACTGCTGCTTCATGGTCAAATCACAGGCTGGACGTGTCTTGGATCAGGCTCATCTTCAGTACAGTCTGCAAGGCCCCTCCACGAGCTGGCTAGGCTTTCTGACAGGGGTGTTTGGGTCACAGAACTGGCTGCTTGGAATTACACATCCATTGGCAGGTAAATAGTTTTCATATAAATTCTATAGATCTATATATTTACACATTGCACATCTACCCTGTGGGTAAGGAAATATGTTTCAGATAATACACACATGGCACTAAAATATATAGCTAAAGATAAATATATAGATCACAGGGGG